TTTTTTTTATTTGGTAGTTGTAACGAAAACCAACACCGTCACCAAGCCGAAAAAATTAATTAATTTAATTATAACAAATTGGAGAGACAGAGAGAAATTGTGATTGTTCGCTCATTAGGCCAGTCGAAGTGCGTCTTTTTGATCCTCCTCTTCTTTTGGAGATTATCCAAATTCTAGAAACATTTCATAGCGATTTCATACGTCGATACATTCGCTACGTGTTCCCAGGCTGGGCAAAGTACCACCGGGAATGGTATTTTAAAATAATCCCCATTAGAAATAGTACTTTGGCCAGCTTCACCGTAAATTGGCACGATATATGTACGCGCGAGAAATCCGCTCGAGGGATCTCTGATCCCTGATCCGAGAAATATCGATCCCTTGAGCAGTGCGATCTTCGATCGATTGCGTCGTATCTACGAATAAAAATACATCTCGACGTCGATCGCGATCGATCCGACGCACTTTCGCGGGATCGTCGATCGATAGGAAAAATATATTTACAGATCGACGTCCGCCGCGAGTCGCGTCGCCATTTCTCTGGATGCAACCTCGACATCCTCTGCAGATTAATCTGCAATCTGATTTAGAAATCGGTGCAACTGCAGAAGGGTTGCTGAAATTCCCCGTCAAAAGTGTACCGAGCAATAAATGGGGCCAGCTACCAATTAAATTCCTGGGTTCGCAATTAATCTGTCATTTTCTGGTGCAGATTAATCTGCAACATGATTTAGAAATCGTGACAACTGCAGAAGGGTTGCTGAAATTCCCCGTCAATAGTGTACCTAACAACAAATGGGGCAATTTCTTTGGATGCAACCTCGACATCCTCCGCAGATTAATTCTGCAATCTGATTTAGAAATCGTTGCAACTGCAGAAGGGTTGCTGAAATTCCACGTCAATAGTGTACCTAACAATAAATGGGGCCAATTCTTTAGATGCAACCTCGACATCCTCCGCAGAATAATTCTGTAATCTGATTTAGAAATCGTTGCAACTGCAGAAGGGTTGCTGAAATTGCCCGTCAATAGTGTACCTACCAATAAATGGAGCCAGCTACCAATTCAATCTGTGGTTAGCAATTAATCTGATATCTTCTGGTGCAGATTAATCTGTAATTTGATTTAGAAATCATTACAATTGCAGAAGGGTTGCTGAAATTCCCCGTCAATAGTGTACATAACAATAAATGGGGCCAGCTACTAATTAAATCTGTGGTTTGCAATTAATCTGATATCCTCTGATGCAGATTAATCTGCAACCTAATGTAGGAAACGTTGCAACTGCAGAAGGGTATACCACTTTCAAAAAAGAACGGCTCGTATATCTTTTCCACATTCATTGTGTCTCGGGAAAAAGAATGGAAAAATAGGTGTTTAGGTTATTTCGAGTGCACTAAAAAGATCGCCCTTTGTACGCGTTTAAAACCCACTCTGTAATCATTCTTATCAAAGAGAGTGTTACAATTCCCCCGGAAATTCATTCTCCTCTCTGCTTGACTATCTTTTTTACAATTACGGGGACGGGGGTGAAGATAACACTTAGAAAGTGATTAAACCTTCGAAATAGAAGCAGGATGGCGAAGGGCGACGAACTTGACGAACAAAGGACACCGCTCCTTTTGTCAGGACGAAGAATGGACATGGTGGAGGCAAGTCCTGGACCTGCCCTAACAAGAGCGCTTCAGTTCGTCCTCGAAACTGGGGATTATTGTGAGATCTAAGCGATTTTCCCGCTTTTACTGTAATTGACTAGGTTTTCTCATCCCATTAAAAAACAATTGCGGAAATGGAACAGATTTAAACAAATGGCCAGAAAGGACTCTTCCCCATCCGTCTTCGGGATTGGATTTATTAACATTCCTTCACATGCAGCCGATTTATTTTCAGTTCTTCTTTTAACATGTTTCGCCCATTATAGTCGAGAGTAATATAAAACATAATTTGTTTGCTTAGGGAATATATATTGTTTTATGTTTATTTATCCGTAGGGTGGCTGCGACGACGCCTCGCGACAGGATCGCACCTTGGCAAAAGTACTCCAATTTCTATGCAAATATTTGTAAATGGTACGGATTAGGATCGCAAAGCATAGAATCTACTTAGCTGTGATATCAAATGGAGGTTGTTAACTTAACAATTATTGTGTCAGGATTTTAATCCCGGAAGATGTCGATAACGACGCCTCTTGGGCCTTGTCGACCATGGCAGGATCGCATCTTTGCAAAAGTACTCAATTTTTGTTGCAATTTGAGTTAACTCGAAATTGGTTGCTTTTGAAAATGTAGGAATAATGTTGAACTTATCAAAACAGGGTGAATACAATTTTTTTAGAGAAATTTGGATGCATGTATCTAATTAAATCCTTCGAATTTTTGCAAAAGTGCTCAAATTTTGTTGCAATTTGAGTTAACTCGAGATTGATAGACTTTGAAAATGTAGACATAATTTTGAACATATCAAAACAGGGTAAATATAATTTTTTAAGAGAAATTTGGATGCGTGGATCTAATTAAATATCTTGCACCTTTGCAAAAGTATTCAAATTTCGTTGAAATTTGAGTTAACTCGAGATTGGTAGATTTTGAAAATGTAGAAATAATGTTGAACTTATCAAAACAGGGTCAATATAATTTTTTAAGAGAAATTTGGATGCATGTATCTAATTAAGTCCCTCGCATCTTTGCAAAAGTACTCAAACTTTGTTGCAATTTGAGTTAAATCGCGATTGTTAGGCTTCGAAAGCGTAGAAATGATTTTGAAAAACTAAGAGAAATTTTCTAAGTTCCAATAAGATTGTTGAGAATGAATTTTGTTGAAAATATGAAACACTTTTAAGTTAGGTCGACCCTGTCTATGTAAGAAAAATGTCTCTCTCTCTTACTATCTTAACTATCGATTTCCGAAGAGTATGTAACGCCTACATGTTATCAGGAATATATACAGAAAGATCTTGTTCTTATTAAAGTTATTTAATTATTGATCGATTAGCCCTTAACCGGTGCGTAAACTTTGCGCACAATTCCATTCATAATCATTCTCTCTCGCATTTAGGTGATACCGTCTTAATCCGTCCACCAAATATTAATAATACTAATCACTGCGTGCTCTTTCATATTCCTTCGCTCAAGTATTTCCAAAATTCCTCCGTTTTCATTTCCATCCGCTTTTTGGTACCAATTAAAATTTAAATTCATTATTGAAGAGCATCGCCACTAATTAGTAATTTTTCAGTCAAATTAATATACGCGTTTTGTGTATAATTTAGAATAAACACACCTGAAATTAAATACGAAACCACAAAAAAACTAAAAAAGAAATAGTATCAATTTTTTGTCAACTGATATTGCAATTTTGTAGACGACGATCCCTTCCTTAGAATTTTATTAATCAATTGTCGATAACCTCTCGACTTTCTCTATACTCTCGGCAAAATGACAATGGAATAGTCTTATCACGAGATATCGTCAATTTGCTTATCAGTTGCTTATCAAGAGGCGTGAAAACGAGGGAAGGACATGTACACTGAGAAAAAAAAAATCCATTTAACCAAAGAAATATTTCGTTAATTCGAAGAATAATTTGACATAAATAAATTGTCATAATTCCGAATAAATTAATTCTTGCAAATTTGTCCTTGCATTCAATTTATTCGAGTTTGAGTTAAACGATGATTCTTTGAATTAATAGAAAATTTCTTTGGTTCAATTACCCTTTTTTTTTTTCTCCGTGTAGGTAATTTTCCTTAACACGTTGACTGGCATGTCCGAAATTGAAAATTCAGCGACATCGAAGAAACCACAACGCGACGATGCACTCATGCTAAATTGCATCGTATGACGTGTAATTGAAAATATATACAGTACCATGATACCGTACAATAGCCATAGTGTTAATGAAAAAGACCCATACTTCGCGAAGAAGTCAAAAGAGCTCTAGGACCCAAATTCTTATTTCTATCTCTAGCTCCGAGAGTTTCATTTTGAGATATAATGTGAATAGAAAAGTTTCGTCGGAATGCATATTACAAATGCACTCTTAAAATAGGCCCGAAATCGACACCTTATACAGAGTGATTCACGACTGATGCATGCATTGGGCGGGTCTAGACAAAGCGACGCCACGCCCACTGACCACTGGGAACTATTAAAATCACCAAATATTAAAACAGATTTATTAAAAATGCATTTAGAACAAATTATCTTTAAGGCTTTTCCATCTTTCGGCAAGCACTCTTGAAATAGGCCCGAAATCCACACCTTATACAGGGTGATTCACGACTGATGCATGCATTGGGCGGGTCTAGACAAAGCGACGCCACGCCCACTGACCAATGGGAACTATTAAAATCACCAAATATTAAAACAGACTTATTAAAAATGCATTTAGAACAAATCACCTTGAAGGCTTTTCCATCTTTCGTCAAGCACTGTTAATTCGCTGGTCATTAACACTGTCATCTTTTTTCAACCGATGACTCACCACACATCCAATGAGTTTTTAACAAATTGCCAATCACGAGCTCAGCGTTTATGCCAAAAATATTCGCTATCAGTTACGTATCATGTCCGGGCACCGCAAGCCACGCCCAACGATCATCGGGAGTGGTGTCGGGAAGCAAGCCACGCCTACCGATCAGCAAAATAGGCGTCCCTAATGAAGCCCCGCCCAACAAGCATCAATCTTGATCCCCGATGTACGCAAACATTGCAAATACTCTGTTACAGCCACTTCCTTCACAGCAATCTCTAATATGAACCTCTCGTCCAGTGAGCTAGAGTCCTCGAGATAGTCTGGTAAATTCGACCGAGTAAACGAGCGTCCCTTATGACAGCTTAACCCAATTAGCGTACAAAAATCCACGAGACAGGCAAAAATATGCACGTGCTCTCCCACCACTTCGGCTTATATCTCTCATTTCTTCCGAGCTGGCCGAGTACCGCGCATCAGCTGATTACCAGTTCCGAGGGGATCCTGATTAGCCTGGTGATCCCTCAGAACTAGAGGGTCTCCAGGAGGTTCTGGACCAGCAATGCAGGTGCAGTTACACGGGCCTTCCCCTTTCTTGTCTGCCGACAGGTGCGGACGCTGCACCGAGGGGCTCGCTCCAATTGCTCCGATTTGTTGCTGTCTTGCTCCAATTGCACCGAGACGCTCGCCACGCGTGGCGATGTACATCCTGCCTCCTGAAACAGCCAATTTAGACAGTTTCATGTTAATATCATGAATGAGGAATTTTTTTTATTTTATGGTGTTTAAGGGCGTCCAAAAGCTTATTCCTTCGTGAAGCTTTTCCATGAACTGGGCGTGCCGAATCGCTTTGAACTTTACTACGTCGATTTGGAAAGTATAAGTAAGGTTCCGACACACGTGAAATTTCATTCTTTATGAAATACTTGGTTAATATCTGGGCGGAAATTTGTAAAACGTTAACACGAAAAATCCATTTCGAATATACCCAAATGTCCAAAAATGCATTTCAAAGATCTTTACATGTTCAAAAATGCATTTCAAAGATCCCTACATGTCCAAAAATTCATTTCAAAGATCCCTGCATGTCCGAAAATGCATTTAAAAGATCCTTACATGACCAAAGATGCATTTCAAAGATCCCTACATGTCCAAGAATGCATTTCCAATATCCTTACATGTCCGAAAATACACTTCAAAGATCCTTATATGTCCAAAAATTCATTTCAAAGATCCCTACATGTCCAAGAATGCATTTCAAAGATCCCTACATATCCAAGAATTCATTTCGAGTGTTGCTAAACGTTGAAGAAACACCATCACTGGAAATAACCCAATCCCGCTACCTCGAAGAGTGTTGGAAGTCCTTGAAGGACGCATCAGTGGGGTTAAAAAAGCTCTCGAAACGGGGGGAAAAGCAGCTTAATCGTAGGAAATAATTGAATGGAGGGCACTTCCGGGTCCACATCTCGTTCAGGAAGTTGAGCCCTCGACATAAAGCCTTGGAGACAAGTCTGCGAGCACGCGCCGCCAGGTCGCGAAAGCCGGAAGTCGAGTTGGCCTGGTCCCCGGAAGTTCTTCCCTTCCGAGGGCCCCCTAAACTTCCGAGGTCCTGGTTCTTCCTCGACGTAAGCACGGCATATACGCGATAATTATCGGGGAGACTAGGTGGCAGCTCTGCTCCGAATTGCATAAGTTTTTACGAGCGGACTCTTAACGAGCGGAGGACCTTAAGTCGAGGAAAGGGAACTAAGAGCCCCACGAGGACCGGAAGTGGAGCGGGACCAGGCAGGACGAGAGAAATTCCTTTAATTAGAATTATGCCGACACAACGTAACCGAAGAATCTTAATTAATCCCCCCCAAAGCAGGAACGTCTTCCTTCTCGGTACTTGGATTTCATGGCCGAGGAAGATGCAAGGTTGGACAGAGAAGGCGCCAGGAAGTGGCTTGTTAGGGAACCGTGGAAGCTCCGAATGAAAAGTCAAATCTAAACGGGAATTTTGTGGGAATGATGATCATCCCAGAAGAGTTCCATATCTCCGTCATTTCAATTAAGCAATGACGAAGAGATCGATGTAAAACAGTAAATCCCGGGATTTCAATGTTCTTACGACTGTTTAGGACCAACGTCGCCATCTGTGACGTTTAGCTAGAACTAAATTTTTCCTCTAGAAACGTTGGCGCAAATTGTCTCAGTACTAACGTACAAGGATTAGTATTAATAGTAATGGACTGTAGGAATTAAACTGACGCTAATTATGTCCATATTGAAACGCAAAGATGAAGGTAAATTAGTATTAATTACTATTGACGGTAAAAGAAGAAGTGTTTTAGTTACCGAAACTGACCTCTTTCGTTAAATTCTTTTTCAGTTAAGTAATGACGAAGAGATCGATGTAAAACTGCCGAAATCCTGGGAATTCAGTATTCTTACGACTGTTTAGGACCAACGTCGCCATCTGTGACGTTTAGCCACAACTAAATTATTCCTCTAGAAACGTTTGCGGAAATTGTCTCAGTATTAACACACAAAGATCAGTATTAATAGTAATTAAACTAACGTAAATGTTGTCAATATTGAAACACAAAGATGAAGGTAAATTAGTATTAATTACTAATGACGGTAAAGAAGAAGTGTTTCATTTACCGAATCTAACCTCTTTCGTTAAACTCTTTTCTGCTTGTAAGGCATGGCGAAAGTAGAATAGGCAGGGAGCAGAAATGTAGCAAGTTCCTAAATTTGTCCTGCACTTTCGAGCTGTCTAAAGTTCGATATCTCGCATTGCTAGATATATCCGACCCCGTGGAGTAAGTCGAGTGTCAAGTCAACATTTCCCGAGTAAGAGTTGAAATTTTTCCGGCGACTCTCGAATGCCGGGTGTCACGTGACGTATCTTTCCTGACTACTCTCCCGTCTCTACAAACTGAATTTTTGACTATGTTGAATTTCCACCAAAGCGAGCTAGACATTTCCTCCTCCCTGAATATACATGAACTTCTCCCAGCTTCCAAAATCCAATAACTGTAATAAAGTGAAAAAGTAAAGGCGGTGGAAACTTGACATCTTACACTTGTACCTTCCAGCGGTATAAATTACCAGTAAGATTTGCATTTTTGTCGGTAAAGTTCATCATCGAAGTTGGGAATACAATTTGCGACGCATAGCGTCAAAATTTCACTCGCCTTGGTTATTCTGCCGAGAATTGTTGTTGGGTGGGATTTCATTGACTTGTACCTAACATTAGATGTGATCAGTCATTGCAATTATCTTGTAGCTGATATATGCATATGGGATGATCATAAAGCGTCTTATTCGTCAACCTAACAATTGCACTGCTGATGGTGTTCAAACAAAAGTACTGGGCAACCGACAACGTAAAGAACCACCTCCAAGATCCCAAACCATAAGATACTTTCTAGCTTCTGGAGATAGCAAAGCTGGGGAAAAGCTAACTCTTTTTAAGGTACAACAATGCGAAGGGGTGCGAAGCTTACCGACAGACATGGGATGATCATAAAGAGTCTTATTCGTCAACCTAACAATTGCACTACACATGGTGTTCAAACAAAAGTACTGAAGCTGGGCAACCGGTGACGTAAAGAACCACCTCCAGGATCCCAAACCATAAGATACCCTCTAGCTTCTGGAGATAGCAAAGCTGGGGAAAAGCTAACTCTTTTTAAGGTACAACAATGCGAAGGGGTGCGAAGCTTACCGACAGACAAAGGTTTCCTTGATGCTGATGATCATAAAGCGTCTTATTCCTCAACCTAACAATTGCACTACACATGGTGTCCTCTCTAGCTTCTGGAGATAGCAAAGCTGGGGAAAAGCTAACTCTTTTTAAGGTACAACAATGCGAAGGGGTGCGAAGCTTACCGACAGACAAAGGTTCCCTTGATGCTGATGAGCCCTGCGCCTGGACTCGCTCTGGAGCTGCCAAGCTCGTATGTAGAGATCACCTCGGTATATCCGGCCACCCCTTCTCGCCCTTAGCATCAAATGCCACCTGGAGAAGAAAAGAAAGGAACTCAGTGGGGAGGAAAGTTGGCTGTGGATAAAAAGTTTCAGTTGAGAATTGCGCCGAGTAGGACGGGCTACGATCAGCCATGCCCGGAGCAGACCGCAGAGAGCAAGCGAGAGTAGGACGGGCTAGGCGAAAGTGGGTGGGGATGGGTTAGGTTGGATTAGGTTAGGTTACGTTGGGTTAGGTTGGGTTATGTTAGGCTTGGTAAGGACTCGCGGAGGACGGGGGAGGATTCGTGGGAACCGGCGCCAAAGGGTGGGACAGGGTGCAGTCGGACAGAGGTGGAGGCGCGGAGACTCCGGGCCTTCAACTCGCAATTTGGACAAGCGGTTGTGTAACTTCGCCATTACATTCATCATCCACGCGTTACTCGGTCGTTCCCTTCCTCCTGGATCCTCCAGGGTGGAGGATTGCGCGGTACCACGACAGGGCGGACTACGCGGTGCCGTATCCTGTTGGTCATTGTCCATTGGACTGTTTTCTGGACTTCTGGCTCCTAACGTCCAAACTTTGCTACGTTTCTTACTGTCTCCAGTTGCAGCACATATGTATCTAAAGTTCATGTAAAGGTTTTCTCGGTCGGTGGTTTCGTAAACTCTGAATTTCTGTCTAGAAAGGTGCTACGAAGTGTCCCTATGAACAGGACGGAGAGAGACACTTTTTAGGGGATAAGTGCCTCCAAATGTGCTGGCTGAGTATGAAGGATCTTGACAGGTGCTTCCTGAACTTTTTACTCGCAGTTAAAACAAATGACTGTGTACCTTCGCCATTGCATCCATCATCGTCGCATCAGCTGGTTGTTCCCTTCCTCCAGGAACCTACTGTGAAGGTGTTAGGTGTTTCTGTCTATCATCAGCAATGACAACAAAATGCCTCATCCCGTTGATCATTGCCCATGAACCTAACATCTAAACATCTATCATCAGGAATGACAACAAAATGCCTCATCCCGTTGATCATTGCCGATGAACCCAACATCCAAATGTCTATCATAAGGAATGACAACAAAATGCCTCATCCCGATGATCATTGCCGATGAACCCAACATCCAAATGTCTATCATAAGGAATGACAACAAAATGCCTCATCCCGTTGATCATTGCCCATGAACCTAACATCTAAACGTCTAGTTCTCAAAGTCCAACCTTCACTCCGTGTCTTCCTAATCATGCAGTCGCAACAATGACGTATCCGAAGTTAGGTCAAACTGAAGACAAAGGGCAAAGTATGAGGCGAGGAAATGCTCCGGGAACATTTCCCTCATTTCTGGCGCAAATCCATCGGAATTCAAGGCCCTGATCCCCGAAAAGCGCCCACCGGAGGCGGCGGGATTAAATTGGAAAAAGAGGAGAAGAGCTGCCCTTCGGATTTGCATGTCAAGTGACTTTGGTTTTTTCTTCGGTCTGGTCTCGTAATGCCGGTCGCGTCTCCCTTTGAGGCCGCGGCATGCATTTTCCATTTGCATCGTCGTCGTATCGGGCCGCGTTGCGGTAGACCTATTGCATTCAGCCAGTCAGATAATCCCGATCGTTATCAAGGCCGTTACAGGTACGGGAATACAGTTACCACGTCGAATCGTTACCGGCCCGATAGCACAAAGCGTAATCGAACGTGAATCAAGCTGACCGTGAGCCCATCTCCATTTCCCTTGGATCGCGACTATCGCCGTTTCGCGATTTGCCCGCGCTTTATCGCGCCCGAATATCCAAAGGATCCCTCCTGATAGATAACGCCATCTAGATATGAACCTTTTCAATTTGATCAATATTTTACTCTTTGTTTCTAAAATATCTTGCACCGCTCTTTGTTTCTAGAATCCATGTCCTTACGAAGGGAAAAATGAGAGCCTTAAGGGGATGTGAAAGTGTCATATCACCTTAAGGCTTTTATTTTCCTATGAATTATTTTACTTTAAGGCTCTTATTTTCCTACAAATTATTTTACACAGCTCTTTGTTTCTAAACTCCACGTCACACAGGGAAAAATAAGAGCCTTAAGAGGGTATGAAAAGGTCATATCACCTTAAGGCTTTTATTTTCCTATGAATTATTTTACATTAAGGCTCTTACTTTCCTGCAAATTATTTTATACTGCTCTTTGTTTCTAAACTCCACGTCACACAGGGAAAAATAATAGCCTTAAGGGGGTATGAAAAGGGCATATCACCTTAAGGCTTTAATTTTCCTACGAAATATTTTACACTGCTCTTTGTTTCTAAAATCCACGTCACTTACACAGGGAAACATGAGAGCCTTAAGGTGATGTGACATTTTCCTATAAATATAAATTTTAGATAAACGAGTATTTTTACGCTTTAAAAATAAAATGTCATACTAACGCCGTCCGCGAAATGACGCGACTCGTCATCGATATTCAAATGGCATAAAGGCGAGATAAAATGTATATTCAAGGGGCGCACGGTGGCAAAAGAACGGAGCCGAAATTAAAACTGAATTTTAAATCGAATTTAAACTCGGGCGTGCATCACTTATCCCTGAAATTCAAATTAAATGTAAAACTCAGAACCGACTCGCGCCCCGGCGTTTGTTGACTTTCTTTTACTAACAAATCTTTCAATAACGGAGGTTTTAATAAAAAATCTACTCAATTAAACCCACTGATATTAATTATATTTGTACTATATACAGCCATATTGATTATTTTCAATACATAAAAAAGATCCAACCGAAGATAAATAATTTCTAATCATCTCCTGTAAAGCGAAGCAACTAAATATATTTTTTTAAATATGATTGTGTGATTAAATTATTATTTAAGCTTTCCAGACCTGCATATTCCGTTAAATTCAGCAATTACCATCAGTTCTCGAAAATTAGTCGAGCGATAATAATTGCTAATCCTCATACCGTAATATCCTGGTTTCCAATATTTATAAATTTGGAAAGTAAAAAAGGAAAAAACGGGAAAATCGGAAAAAATATGTATTGCAATATTTTCGTGAATTTGGAATTCTACCGAAATGTGTATCTATTATTAATGTTTACCGGTATAAAAATCGCGATTTGGAGCCATCATATATTGGTAAATGTCGGAGATAGGATTATTGTCAAAACGCGAGAGACGATTTTCCCTTTTACTTTTCATTCAGTCAAAGTATTCCCTTCTCTCTCTTACTCACTGGGGGCCGTATCGTCGCCTCTCTCTCTAGCGCACGGCCAGCAGCGCAGCGGCCGGGAAAAATAGGAAAACCCCCTGAATTTCGCGATTTTCTTCTTTACTCCAAAATCATAAGTGTCTTATCAACATTCAGCGATACAAATATCCCATTTTGCAGCGAATTGAAGATATGCAAATGTCGGAAATCGGCGTCATTATTGTCAAACGGCGATCCGCGATGTCACGCGTCCTTTTACTATTTCATTCAGTCAAAGTATTCCCTTCTCTCTCTTACTCACTGGGGGCCGTATCGTCGCCTCTCTCTCTAGCGCACGGCCGGGAAAAAAATAGGAAACGCGGCATAAATCGCGCGATTTATCACGCCGATAAGGGTGTAACACAACGCCGACGACATTATCGCGTTATCCCCCACGGATTATCATCGACGGCTCGAGTTTTGGAAAATATTTCCCAGAGGACGACGCCCAGGGGCGAGGAATTTTTCAAAAAAGCGCTTTGACGTTTTCCCTCCGCTCGGTCGTTATTAAATCCGAATGGAAACCTCGCCGACGTAAACGGGGGAATCCGCATGAAAAATCATGTCCCCCCGACGGACGTGTCGCCACCTAGCGGCGGTGATAACGAATTTACGGGGGCGTTCATAAACGCGGTACATAACCTCATCCGAAGGGCTCCCGTCTCTCCTTATCGCCGGCGCTCAGCGTCCCTTTATGTTTCTTTCTTTTTTTTTCTCATCGCGCGACACCATTAAACGTCGTGATAACCTGCCCTGGAAATTTCCCCAATGACCGAGAAAATTGCAAAACCTATTTCTAGAATATCAGCCATCCAGTTAGTACATAGATCAGTCCTTGAGATGCTTTCCTTATCAGTAGAAAATTGTGTGTTGATGTGTTGATGTGTGTGGTGTGTGAATGATGGAAGTGTGATGTACAGAAGCATTTACTTGGCCTCGGGTAATTACTTATTCCTATTTACATCAGTGTAGCTGAATGATAATGCCACAGGAAACCCATAAACATCCTAAAAAGCTACTGATATACCCATCGACCTATATCCCGCTTTTTGGGGCAGATTTCCGAAATCCATTTTGGGGAAACATCTCGATAGCGAAGTATCGCGGTGAAATATCGACGCATCGATAGGTCGATACTCCCGGGGTGAAGTTGCCGCGATAATTTTACATCGGGGATGGTTTCGATGCGTGGATAGCCCTGTCACCCCCGGCCGCCACCCACCACCCACCACCCACCACCCACTTTCATCCCCGTGTCCTCCCATATACCCATCGGTCCCCCGTTTCGCCAGTCTGCGGGGAGATTTATATTTGCATTTAAAATCTGGATGTTGCGCCACATCTGTCAAACGATGCATATTTAAATTTCGCGCACTACCCGCCCCACCCACCACCCACCCACCCACTCGCCGCCCTACGTCCACCTAGCTCCACAAGCCAGCTGCAAAAACAGCACAAATCGTCGTGCCAAATTTAGTGTTCATGTTTCATAGACACTTATTTAGTTATGTTATGCCATATCTGTCAAATAATGCATATTTAAAATTCGCGNATGTCCACCTAACTCTGCAAGCCAGTTGCAAAAACAGCGCAAATCATCGTGCCAAATTTAGCGTTCAGCGAAATTATGAAATATACTCAGTGCTCATCATTATAAATGTGCGTTAAATTTATTTATACGACCCCATAGATGAGTACTTATATGTCATTGATAATAGTCGAATGTATATACAGGAAAACCGTGGCTGGCTAATTTTTAATTCATTAGCTACAATTAACCAACCCCTCTGAATTAAATAAACGTATTTAACATTAATGAGATGCAGTTTAACCTAGCAGAACCGCACAGAGCTCCACCTCAATTTTAATTGAAAATAAGCGATCGATGATGTTGCAGGTCAGCAATTAAACCATTTAATTGAAGTTAAGCCGGTTGATTTAAATAAAACCTCGTTATTGCTCTACGTTTCGGCGGGTTTAAATAAAAGTTTAATTCACTCGATTACAGTTCATTGATTTCAGGTTCAGTTAGCGCAGTTGCAGATTTGTTTAATCATCATTTTAAAATCATATCAAAATCGATCATTCGGAGCCAAGGTGCATCTTGATCAGCTGATGCACTTTGGCCCACTTGCACTGATCATCTTCATTTTTATCAGTGCATTTACTAGGTGATACGTCGATGACATTGGCAATGGCAAGGTACTTAAGTTTCATGATGAACAATTTTTTATCCTATTTTTGTAGAATTTTTTCCTACCAAAAGAGACCAAAGAGACATTGGTAATGGCGAGGTACTTAAGTTTCATGATGATCAATTTTTTTTCCTATTATTGTACAATTTTTTCTTGCCAAAAGAGACCAAAGAGGCATTGGCAATGGCGAGGCACTTAAGTTTCATGATGAACAATTTTTTTTCCCATTATTGTACAATTTTTTCCTGACCAAAAAGGCTGAAGAGGCTCAGTAAGAAGATTGACCCTTCTAGAGAAGGTGTCCCGAAAAATCACCTTCAGGAGGAAACTTTCGAGTTGCATCGCTCCAGTGTTTGACCACTCTCCGATGAACCTTACCAGAGTTAATTACCTGATAAGCCTGATATCGGTATCGGAAAATCGATAATTGGGAGCCAAGATGCATCTTGGGGTTACCTCGTGATCAGCTGATGCACTCTGGGCCACTGGCCTCTCGATCTCAGGATCTTTGCCGTGCCTAGAAGAGACGCCCTGTGAGATGGAGATGCTTCCATGCCCTTCAGGTAGTACTTCAGGGAGGGAAGCCACTTTCCTTAAACAGCAACGATTTTACACTGTGTGTATATGAACCGAGTGGGGTGCATCGAGGCATGAGCTGCAACAGCCAGCGACCATATGAAAATAAAAACACACAAGAACGCATAAGATACACCCAAGATACACACAAGATACACCCAAGATATACATAAGAACGCACAAGATACACACAACATAGAGTTGGGTAAATTGTTGGGTGCATCGAGGCATGAGCTGCAACAGCCAGCGATATGACAACAAAAACACACAAGAACGCACAAGATACACACAAGATACACACAACATAGAGTTGGGTAAATTGTACCGGTATACAAAAATGCCAATTTAAACGTTTTTGGCAGGGTACTTTAGTAAATGAATTCATAATTCATGTCTCATGTACACACACAAAAGTACGTAGATACTATTTAACATCTGATGTGCATTACCATTCCCATGGAGCCAAGACGCATACTCCGCGATGTGGTCCGGACTTTTTGGCTGCAGTCTCACGACGTGTCTCAGAAGTGCACCTGCAGCTGGACCCTTTGCTAATCTTGCCAAGACAAGATAAGCAGGTGTGTAGGCGGGGTCCAGGGACACGCACTTCTGCAACATCCTGATGCACTCCTCGGTCCTGTTCGTCTTCCTGGAAAATGTATGATATTTCATGTAAGGCCACTAATTATTTTGTTTCGTTTAACAATTAACCTGGCGAGGAAAGTATCTCAGGTATTACTGATTTCGTTGGTTCTGTGTATTAGTACATTAAAGATAAGGGTCACGTACTTCTTCATACGTATTAATTTCCGAGATGTGTTTTGAGTGTATTTCGTATTTCTTGATACATGCTAATTCCTGTGATGTGTGTTATACATTTGGGTGTATTTCGTACTTCTTCAAACATGCTAATTCCCAAGATAGGTGTTATACTTTTGGGTGTGTTTCGTACATCTCCACACATGCTAATTCCCGAGATGGGTGTAATAGTTTCGGGTGTATTTCGTACTTCTTCATGCATGCTAATTCCCGTGATGGGTGTTATACTTTTGGGTGTATTTCACACTTCTTCATACATGCTAATTCCCAAGATGGGTGTTATACTTTTGGGTGTATTTCGTACATCTCCACACATGCTAATTCGCGCGATTGATATTATACTTTTGGGTGTATTTCGTACATTTGCATACATACTAATTCCCGTAATGGGTGTTATACATTCGGAAGGAAAGGATATCAGGAATAAATCTGTCGATAACGCAAATCTCGCCGTTACGCCCGCTTTTACCGCAAGCTGCAAGAGACACGTAATAAAATACCATTTCCGGCTTACGATCGGTAAAGAGGTACGTAAAACTGAATCGATCGATGGATATTGAAAAGCTCGTAACAGGAAATCTCAGCCGTGCAAATTTCACGGCAATTTCGTTTACACCGAAGTAAAACCTTGCACAGACTTCGTTTAATTGGCAATTGCGCATCGATGGGTGTTAGATTACCGTAAAAGAGAGAAATCTCGAATATAAATGAGATATTGATGATATAAATCTGCATATTAACTGCACCCTGCGGAATACGTGTGTACAATGGTCGGCCATTTGCAATAATGTGGGAAAACGCAGAAGAATACGCCATTCCACATAAAGAGGTACGTAAAAATTGGCCAGTCGATGGATATTAAAAAGTGCCCTGCACAATTATCCTCGTAAATCCCCGTAAATTGGAGCGCAATCTCGTCTAGGTGTCCCCTTGAATTACGAGGGGTACGTAATTCAAGGTAATCGACTGTGTGGTCGGTACAATCGCGTAATTGGAGGCAAACCAGCTAGGGGCTCGGTAATGTTTGGCCCTTTACGACAAATCCCACTTTTATTGTTTATTATCGGCCCACTTTACGGGCAGTTCTTCCCTCCGATTCGTCGGCACCAAGTGACGTCACGACTTCCTCCGGACGATAAAAGCTTAACGTTCCGACGAACAAGCTTTCGAATTTTATGGGAGTTTGAAAATCGCTCGAGGGGAGCGCCTCGATTGAAACCTCCGAGGTGGGTTTCGACCGATGAAAGCTCCGGAGGGAGCTTTCGCATTTCGCTGCCATTTCCCAGGACCTCGGTTTCCCCGAGAGATGTCAATTCGAAAGGGGCTTCACGCCAGGGTTTCTAGGGGAAGTATCTAGTGCTTTTTGGTATGGACACTTTTTTCATTCCCACATAAACTGTTCATCCAATGCTTAAGGTGAAGTGAAACACGTCGAGGAACTTGATCGACGTCGGTAAAGAAGACTTTTCAAAATGCTTCCGTTGCCGACGTTGGTTTTTTATATTGACAGCTGTGTGGTTTTTATATTGACAGCTGGCATAGAAGCGCATACAACACTTCTTTTGCCTTTATCCCGCTCAAATGCGAGTTTATCGACTACCAGAGTGTTCTTAATTGTCGTAAAATTTATATTTATGTTGAGGTTTTTACAATCTAGCGGGGCATTTTAATAACATGCAGGGTGTTGAAAAGTGCATTTACCTGTACAATTGACCGAGGTTGTAGTGCGCATTTACATGTCCCGGTTGGGCATGAATTGCTGCGAGAAAATGCTTCTCAGCCTGATCCCCAGCAGTCAGTGTTCCCAAATTGTTGTGGGCGCTCGCATAAGAGGGCCAGAGCCTGAAAATGAAAAAATGAAGAAAAATGTTAAGACACTTCAAATCACCATTGAAATTAAAAATTATTTAAATCATCCTCAAATTTCTTAGTCTACAGAAAACAATTATTTTTACCATATGAGCTCTTATTGTCTTTACGTAAGTCTCTTTATAATTCACCCCCTTCGTTTTTCATTCTCTATGAAATTATTTAAATGTCTCTTTACGTGCGTTACAGTTTCAATGATTATCAGATGTACTTTACCAATTTACAATATACTCTAGAAATATTCTTGGAAATTACGATTTTGCATTAACGTAAGTGATATTTATGTATATATGTAAAAGAATAGAGTTGCAACGATCGCTGCCAAGTTTAATGACAACAAGGGACTGGCAGTAAAAAACGACGAACATGTAACAATCGTAATTGAATTTTTCCGGCTATGTTAGTAATTACTCATCTCGGCGTCGGTATTCCGTGAAGCCCTGGTTTCGGGGCTCATTAATTACTAATTAATTACTGTTTCACTTCCGGGGCGTCTTCCCTTTAATAACGGGAATGCACACCCGGGATCTGCAATTAGCAACGTGATGAGCTTCTTTCTAAGCGGAATTAATCTGAGCATGCACCAGTGCTTCCTCTGCAACCGGATGTATCGTGTTCGCCGTATTACGAAATTATCCTGGAAACGGAACTACAAATCCATCTGGATTACACGGTCTGTCAAACATCTCGATGCCATTAGAGCACCCGATCCATTGGAGCTTCCGCAGGAATTATACCTTGAGTTGATTCTGAGCGTCTCTTCGCAACGTCTGCTCTTTCGATTTTCAATTTCTACCCAATTTCTAACGAAACTCATTTCTTGTCTTCGATACCTTGCATTGTACGACGATACAACTTTATATGTACATATGTGTGATTTTCAATTTTTACGCAATTTGTAACAAAATTCATTTCTTGTGTTCCATACCTTGTATTATGTGATGATGATAGCTTTATACGTACACCGGGAGACATCAATGCCCTCCCATCCTGCACAGGCGATGCCGTATCTGCAGGGGAGGCATTTATGTCCGCCATTGTACACTGGGAGACATCAATGCCCTCCCATCCTGCACAGGCGATGCCGTATCTGCAGAGGAGGCATTCATGTCCGCCATTGTACATATGTTTGATTTTCAATTTTTGTGCAATTTCTAACAAAATTCATTTCTTGTGTCTTATGTGAAGATAATAGCTTTATACGTACACTGGGAGACATCAATGCCCTTCCATCCTGCACAAGCGATGCCGTATCTGCAGGGGAGGCATTCATATCCGCTATTATACATATGTTTGACTTTTAATTTATATGCAATTTGCAACAAAACTCATTTCTTGTGTTCGATATGTTGCATTGTATGGCAATAACAACTTTATATGTACATATGTTTGATTTTCAATTTATACGCAATCTGTAACAAAATTCATTTCTTGTGTTCCATACCTTGCATTAAATGATAACAGCTTCGAATTACAATTATCCACGTAATTTGTAACAAAACCCTTAATACATACATATGTAGCAACGTTTTGTACGTTTAGAGCGACATACAGGGATATTATCTTTCCACAGGCAATTTTGATTAAATTCATAGAAACGACTTTAACAAAAGGAAGGCTCCTCCACGTCTTCCAACATCGAATGTGCAGAACATATTACCAGAATCCCTTTCAAGTCCCAAACGATATTACAATAAATTGAAGCTTTGCTCGAAGCCAGTAGAAGCTCAGAGCTTTCGGTCCTGTTTTCATCTAAAAGGATTTTCATCTCCCATTGTTCAAACACATAGCGTCGAGTAATATTTTCCGCAACGATTTTGAAAACCGCCCCGTCGATGCCGGAAGTCCAGGAGTTCGAAACGAATTTTGAAAAATCGATATCCCCCGATAACGTCACATCATCAGGTGCGACGTCACGGCGAAGAGAAATGATTATTTCTTCTTCCTCCGCCATTTTGGGGCAAAGGTGCCGAAAAGTATTCCCCGAGAGCTTTGCGTCGGTCCAGCCGGAAATTCGATTCCACGGCAAATGCTAAAAGCTATCAAAGGCTAATGGATTCGGCCCGGGGATAATTCCGATCCATTATCCCGCTTTGGGATATTCTGGAACACTTCTATGCCTCTCTTTGCCTTCCACTTTCCACCCTCTTTCCCTGTCCCACCCCAAGCCCTCTGTACGGTGATTATTTGAGGGAGAATTATTTCATACCCATGGGCGACGACCCACCCATGGGGTCTCTAACGAGGTCCTGTAGGACTTCCTCGAGGACCCGTAAATGTCCCTGTAGAAGATGTGGTAGCTGCTTATGAGCACTTATAATGCTGTAAGGGTGGACATCTTTGCCAGTACTTAGGCGGCAGTCCGGCAGATGGCATTATATCTTTGTTAAATCTTTGTTATATCTTTGTTATATCTTTGTCAAATCTTTGTTACATCTTTGATATATCTAACAAATACCTTAATTTCCAAACATCAAGCTATTCTTACAATACTAATGGTAAATGAAATAGCTGAAAGATTTGTCTTACGTGGTCATATCCCACAAAACACGGATACGTAACAACAATATAACCGTTGCATAAAATGTATAACATATATGTAACATGTAAGTAAGTTTTACATTACCATTTCCTACGCAGCTATAAAACATTATTATAAAACGAGTAACGTAGCATATACATTGCAGAAATTATTCTGCGCTACTAGGGCTACTGCGGATCACTTTGCCCAATTAAAAAATGGCGGATCCTAAGGATGCAAATCTTGTACGAGAAAATTTAAGGATGTCACCCAAATGTAAACTTTTCCACATTTTCTCACATGATAGAGATAGGCTGTTTTTTCATTTAATTGCAACTCTTAATTTAAAGTAGCTCTGGATGTCTGATAAGCGAGAAGAAATCATAGGGATCATAAAAAATGGCGGATCCTAAGGATGCAAATCTCGTACGAGAAAATTTAAGGATGACACCCAAATGTCAATTATTCTCAATTTTTTTACATGATAGAAATAGGCTGTTTGAGTTAATGGGAACTCTTAATTTTAGAGCAATTGGATAGCTCTACATGTCTGATAACCGAGGAGAGATCATAGGGATCATAAAAAATGGCGGATCCTAAGGATGCAAATCTCGTACGAGGACTCGATAAGGGTTCGAGAAAATTTAAGGGTGACACCCAAATGTCACGTAAGGCGACCGGCCGGCATACAAATATCCTCGGACTTTCAAAAGGGTGGTGACCATAGAGCAGGGGATTTTCCAGAGGGAGCGAAAAACTCCGGAGGGATTCGAGCGGAATATTAAAACGCACCCCAAAAACGCCCACGTCCCGCCTTGCGGAATGTAAACCGCTCCAGGGATCCACTCCACGCAATAAAGCACGCACCTTTAACACAGAAACTACGGGCGATATCTGCACAACTTCTTCAGCGTAGCTTCACTTAATTCTTTACATTCAATTTCATGAAACTCTCAAATTCTGAAATTCATTCAGTATTTCCAGGACGTAATAGTGCAAGTTCATGAGTGTCAAGACCTTCCTTATAGCTTCCATGTTCATATTTTCAAGTTTGAAACGCTTCGGTACACTCAGTTCGATGAAAAGTTTCATAAAACAACTCTTTGACGTCGCTTTCGCACATACCTGGGGGAAAACATCATAAAGGAAGAAATTGGATGTTCATACAGGGAGTTATTTAGTATTTCCAGGGCGTAAAAGTGCGTGTTCATGAGTGTCAAAACTTTCCTTATAGCTTCAATGTTCATATTTTCAAGTTTGAAACGCTTCGGTACACTCAGTTCGATGAAAAGTTTCATAAAACAACTCTTTGACGTCACTTTCGCACATACCTGGGAGAGAACATTATAGAGGAAGAAATTGGATGTTCATACAGGGAGTTATTTAGTATTTCCAGGGGGTAAAAGTGCAAGTTCATGAGTGTCAATACCTTCTTTATAGCTTCCATGTTCATATTTTCAAGTTTGAAACGCTTGGACACACTCAGTTCGATGAAAAGTTTCATAAACCTCTTTGACGTTACTTATACTGGGGGAAAACATCATAAAGGAAGAAAATGGATGTTCATACAGGGAGTTATTTAGTATTTCCAGGACGTAAAAGTGCTAACTCAGGACCCTAGAAGAGCAGATTCCGAGGTGACATCCGGATGTCACTGGATACGACCCCCGGGCATACAAAAGCACCTAGAGGGGTATGCGGAAGAACCAATAAGGGTGGTCACCCTCGGGTCATCCGTAGGTCCCTACTTCACCGGCATTAAACCGGAATATTTTCCAAGGGGAGGGAAAACTCCGAAGGGAAACGAGTGGAATATTAAAACGGGACCCTATGGACACCGGTAGTTCATCTTACAGAATATAAACCACCCTCGGATTGTACTCTACATAATGGAGCCTTGCATCCCTGCTTCGGCGTTCCCAGATCTACCTTAGCAATTAAAGGACAACTGGAATTTGTGGCGCCCTGGGGACGCAATCGATTTTCCTCCGAGCATGGTTCTTCCTTCGAAATGGAAACTCCAAGCACAGAACCTACACGCGGATTCAAAATTCTCCGGATATCGCTGTAAAGGTGGAATTCGAATCGTAAGAAATTGATTGGAAATCTCGTTCCTTCAATTTGATTTAGGAACTTTTGAAGGACCTTCGTTGATTAGAATCCTAAAAACGATGATCATTCTTGAAAATGGCGATGCAACTGAACATTTTAAACGCCGCTGACTTATTTTCCGATTCCTGGAATTTTGCAGCTGGATTTCCGGGAATTACATGTCGTGCTGTCGTTCAACATGGATATCGATGTATTGTTTGCTGAGTAAAATTCGGAAAACGGTGATCATTTTTCAAAATGGCGATACAACTGAGCATTTTAAACGCCGCTGACTTATTTTCCGATTCCTGGAATTTTGTAGCTGGATTTCCGAGAATTACACGTCGTGCTGACGATATTA